GGGGGGGCGAGGGAGGAGAGGCAAATTACTTCTGTAAAAGTTTGCATTCACTTTAACTGTGGACTGTCCATTAAAAAAAAAAACCCAAGCACTGCCCCCAAGCTACTACTAAACTATTTTTATGTATTACTAAATTAAGACTTAATTAAAATATATTGTATAGAATAAAAAACAAAGTATAAAGCAGCCGCAAGACTAAATTTTAGAGTATCCTACCTGATGAGAGGAGCTTTCTGCAGCAGTCTGAAAATCCACTTAATGCTGCCAAATGGAGAGGAAACATCCCATGTATACCCCGCCTAAGATACATCATAATCAGGTATCACAGTTTCATTACAATTAAAATAAAACAAACATGATTGTGTGCCAAAGTGCACACACACATGGTGGGTTCAGCAAACCACCTAATTAGAATACTGAGCCTTGGGAAAACTTCACATATTAAATGCTTTCTCACAAGCTAGCAGGATGCATTAAGTCAGTGCAGCAGCCTATTAAAACTTTCAGAGCTTTTACTTCAAATACATTAGAGGAAAATCTATTTCTCTTTTTCTTTGTACAGAGTAGCTAATTAACCATACAGGATAATACACAAAGTATTTCCTATTTCAAGTTGAAGATGATATTAAAAAAATCATACTAGTCTTGTTAATCTAATTAATACATTTCTAAATTCCCTCAGCTTGCATTCAAGTCAGTAAAGTTACCTACTTTGCAGTGTCAGCACCACTCGTAATCAGAGTGTTGATTAATAGCTCATGGCCATATCTAGCTGCTATGTGCAAAGGAGTATTTCCATTCTTATCTTCACAGTCTATTTCAGCTCCTATAACAAAAGAGTAGTTAATAAGTAAGAATACATGTAGTGTACAGATACTTTTGTTATAAAAATAGCACTGATGATAATTTAAGCAATATTAATAATTGTCCATGAATGACTCCTTTGGATTTAAAGATATATACAGCTTTCAGTGGTATTTAACATTAATAACAATCAAAATAGAGACAAGCATTTTATCATGTGACCATATGGGACAAACTTTCTGCAATCTGGGTTATGGAAGAAAAATTAATATATTTTCCTGCATTCTGAAAAATAATGTTTCCAACATAACTTATGTAACTGTATAAAGAGACATGCCAGACTCCACCAACAACTGAACTACTACAAGACACTGGATATGAAAAAAAATTCAGTACATTATACATGAGGAAAATATTTGTAATACTGGAAAGCTGATGACAAAACTACCCCCCCCCCCCCTTTTTACCATTTTGAATGATGGTTTGAGATCTTGAAAATCTACCATGGATCGCTGTCATGTGCAAAGGTGTTTTCCCGTCTTTACTCTGGAAAACAAAAAAAATCCCAAGTGTTTACTTATGGCCAGTAATGCACCAGTACTTCCCAAAAGAAAAAAAAAAAAAAAAAAAAAAAAAAAAAAAAAAAAAAAAAAAAAAAGAAAGAAAAAGGACATTATTTCACTTTCCTCTCTGCCTCTACTGCCTCCTTTAAATTGTTTCTGTGCACTTCTGCAAGGCGGATACTGGCAGTGACAAGTCAGCATAACATGGCAAGCTTTTCAGAAGAGCTGCTCTTAATCACTCTTCCAGCTGTGAGTGACAACTCAAGGATGCCCACTCACTCACTCACTCACAGTTATGCCTTCAGGATAATCACTCGAGAGGATGATGACAGCACACAGCTTCAGCAACAAGCCTATGTCCAACTCTCCCCCCACCCAAGTCTAAACCAAAACAAAACAGTTCTTTAAATTAAGTTTGCTTCTTGAAAGAAAATAGCTGTATTTACTACAGAAGTTTACACATTGTATTAGAAGACAAGACATTGAAAAGCTCATCTGTTTCATTCTAATTTCTGTAAAGTGGCATTTGTAAGCAATTTATCTTAAACCACAAGTAATCCTAGGGTAGAACTGTTTAACCACATTAGGTACTATACATTTGACACATATATATAATGTGCATTTAGTCATTCACACAGTGAAGATGCCTTTCATGTAGGCCAGCAGTAACGCATAAGGGAATTTCAATGTTTAACAGAACAATCTCAATGCATTTACAAAACCAGTTTTTCTATTATTGTTGCATTAGGATAATTTCCCCCCTCCCTGTAATTTGTCACAGGCAACGGGAAAGCATTACTGCAGAAAAACCATCCTACAAATGCACACAAAAAATTGCAAACATGACACTCACAGAAAACAAAAGCCCTCTTGGATGCGTGTGCCACATCTTTAAACACTGGCTTTGAAGAATATGAAGTGTTTCACAAAATAAATAGTTAAAAAAGACAAAGATGGTAAGGGAAACATATGATATGAACATGACTGAAATATCAATTGCTGTGATGTTCAAAAGTGTCTTCCTATCTTTTATCTTCCTTTGGAACCAAAGCTTCTATTGATGTGTTACTGAAAGTCTGCTGGAGACTCTTTTAGACAGAGTTGGATGTGGAGTTTTAAGTTGTGTCACAGCACAGAGCAGCATGCACAACCTAGAACAATGCAATTATGGGAAACGTGGTCTTCTCAGCCCTAGACTGAAATAAATAAAACACTTGATAATGACAGCCAAGTTATCTCCAGATGTTTCCAGCTGGCAGATTTCTTTGATTGTAAATAATCCAAAAGACACATCCGCAAATCCATAGCAGACACAAAGAAACACAGAAAATGAGGCTGAAATCCACTTCAGGAATCAGACAATTGATTCTAGTTCTGTCATTTGGAGGCCTTAAGAAAACGTCAAATAAACACATCATAAGTGACGACTTCCCCGAGCAATCTCTGTGCTCTGATTTTCTTACAAAGAGAATTTTCTTCTAATGTCTACCTTTCACCTTTCTCCCAGTGGTTTAGTTCTACTCTCTTTATCCAGCCATTAATATTCTCTGTGTGCAACTGTTTTCCTCCTTTAAAATTATCGTTACACATCGTTACAGCATTAGTTTATGAAAGGCAGGTCCTGCCAGACGAACCCGATCTCCTTCTATGACAAGATGACCCGATTATTGGATGAGGGAAAGGCTGTGGATATCATCTACCTGGACTTTCAAAAAGCATTTGACACTGTTCCCCATAGAATTCTAGTGGAAAAACTAGTTGCACATGGCCTGGGTGAGCACACGATCTGCTGGATCAAGCACTGGCTGTCTGGATGGTCCCAAAAAGTGGTGCTCAATGGAGTTAAATCCAGCTGGTGGCTGGTCACAAGCGGCCTTCAATATCCACATATTTTTTTTTATACCTTTAAGGTCTATTATCCAAATATTAACTGCAGCTGTCTGAATTTAAAAGATCAGAGCACATGATGGAATAGCTACGGGCTAATGATAACTTTTGTTGTCTTCCCTGAAACTCAATTAACTCGGTAATAGGAAAGGAATCGCCCAACTCTCCTTTATCACTAGAGAAAACGTATCCACAAAATACATAGGAAATTTGCTAGGAGCAGTAATTGCAATTGGACAGAAAGAATTAACACACAGCACAAGGTGTTTTATCAAGTGATTACTCAGATATTAACTGCACTCAGACTACTGAGCTTTACTGAGGGCCAGGGGAAACGTGGGGCTATCATGCCACAGCATTCCTCCAAGTGAAATCTCCCCCTAGCAACAATTCCTACCTTCTAGTATCACCAATGGAAATAAAACACTTTTTCTATTTAGGTCATTGAATTTCCAAGCAGCAAGGGGGCCCATAAAACAATTAATACTGTCCCATTACGTACTCATTTCAATGTGCTCTTTCATGCGTGGAAATCCTGAACGGCGAGGAGAGAGCGCTGCAGTAATGAGCAACACTTAACAGGATTTCACTGCCCTGCAGTGCTATGGGGACACTGACAAGGCTACAAAAACAAGTATGAAATTATGTCCTCCACCTACAGAGGTGATAAAAAGCATACTACAGGTTTAACATTTCCAGTGCTCCATTATCTTCTGCTACATCTTCCCTTCTTGAGGTGAGGCCAGCACGCAGAGAGATGCACAAACCCCCACCTGCCATCAAGAATGAGAGAGTTTCCCTTTTGCCTTCCCCACTGGGTCACGCACAGCAGAAGGTGCTCCAACAGCACTGTCTACTCTGCACCTGGACCACCATCCGTGCCCACTCTGTGCCCTCTAAAAACACAGCAGCAGTTGCACACGGGAGGGAACTATTGCCTCAGACTACACAAGCAATACAATTATGATGAAAAATAAATCCTATGACAACTTTAACAACTACTTTGAACTTCAGCCTCAGTATTTGGAAACTGAACAGGCTTGGTTTCATACTCAGTAAGAATGCTCTAAACACATCCCATTTTAACTCCACAAATTATTCTTAGCTACACAACATATTCTAATTCAATTTCCCTTTGCTGTTTTTTCAGGATTGTTTTTCTGATTAAATCCAAGATTTATCCTTATAGGCCTTTCCAGGGAAGCAAAAGTTGACCTGGAAACAATTTTCTTTTCCCTCAGCTCTTGCACTTTTTAACAGTGCAAGTGGTAAGCTCTCATATACAAAGTAAGCCTGTTCACACCTTCAGGTACAAATTCACAGGTGGAATTCAGTTATGCTGGTATAAATCCACAGAAACGCTATTAACAGAATTACAGTGGAGACACGGTGGTGCAGGAACAGGGGATAAATGCTGTTTTCAAGCTATACTTACTTAAAATCCTTACACATCCCTACTTGCTTAATTTTGCACTTAACAGTTTGATACTTCCTAAAACAACACATTTTAATTACAGGCAACCTATAGCTAAAACTACTAGCCCCTTCCACTGTAAAGACATTTTCTTCTGAAGCTGGCTAACTTCAGCAGCCAAATCTTTACTCAGCTCGTAGACTTCAGCTGAAATTCTCAGCTCTCCAACATGCTTCAGGCTGCATTTCCCAGCTCCACCACCATCACGTTGCAGAAAAAATGATTCTGTCATCTCAGAGTAAGCTTAAGAGAAAACTTGGGTTTAGCCATTCTAAATCTTCTGAGGATTATTTTTTTTTAAAGTTTTAGAAACCAACAAATATATGCTTTGGATGCTGTAACTTAAAATTGCATTGTTGCTGCCTTTCCCATTCATCTCTCTTATGTTAAAACATCTTCTGTCACCTCCAAACAAAAGCCGACCCACATTATAAACTTCAAAGAACTCAGGAACTTTGCCAGTCACTTTACAGTATCAGCTGTTCTTTGCACAATTTCTAAGGTTACTTAGTGTTACAACTGACTAAATGTAGTCAGTATCTATAGTGTGTACCATATGTAAAACAAAGACTCTTATTTTAAGTTCAAACATAAAGATTATAGTAAACTTTAACAGTGTTTAATTATCATAATAGCATGTTGGAAGCTTTTAATTTTCATTCCTAATCTACAATTAGGGTGGAATTGAAAATGAATAGCCAAAAATCGTAACCACCCTTACTTGCTGCACATCTTTCTGAAATTAAGCCCTTCCCAGTTTTTTCTTCTACATCAGAAAGACGTACAAAGTCATGAACCCTTGCAAGCCAGCATATAGGGAAACAGTCATTCTTTGCTTGGCAGTATTTGTGTTTCTCTTTTGTTATTTGTGTAAGTAACATGTGTACATAATCACTAATATATTTAACACTGTGGGACTATTTTCATAACAGCACATATGTTACTGAGAAATCCTGTTTGGAGAATGTAGGACAGAAGTCAGCCCTGTAAGGCTAAACCCTCAGTCCTATCCAGTGCGGGACATTATGCAGAGCAGAAAGCTGGCAACAATATTAAAAGGACTGTGACCTGTGTATTTTAGGACAAGTTGGCAATACCCCCTGTAAGCACAGCTCCTTATTTCTCCAGAGGACTCTGGTGATTAATTTTTCCAAAACTGAGTTTAAGTATGTTTCCATTAAATAAGCTGCATGTTTAAATCTATGTAAAAGTGAGCAGTAACATACATCTAAGATTTTTCCACATCAAGCAGCTCATTTTTAAATTACTCTCAAATTTCCAGTGGGCTATGGATTTTGTACCAACAATAGATATAAAATTGCATTTTAGAATTACTCAGCTGAAAATCAGTATGAATATCTTACATGAAGTAAGACACAAACCCCATGATTTTTAACAGAAATGTTAGCTATTCTAATATTTACTTTTTATTCAGATTGTGCTGAAATTAAGGCATAACTCTATTAAACAGACTTTTTTTTTATTATTTTTTTAAGAAACAAAAGGATAGATAATTCTCTTCCTACCACGAGTGCAACGCTACAGTCAATTAGATGTTTTATAAAAGGAATGTTTGGACTCTTCATTCCATGTACCTATTTCTCACTTCCCCCAGCCTGTCAAGAAACCAGACGCTGCCACTGGGTATTTCTGAAAACAGCTACATTTTCATTATTATAGTAAAAAACAACTTAATACAAAACAGGAGGTCTCACATCTCTCTCTCACATGTCAAGACCTTATCCTACACACATGATAAGATACAGGTTATAGTTTGCTTTTATGCTCGGGTGGATTAGAAATTCTACCTACACTAAGACTGGATTCTAAGGAATACTGTGCAGCCAAAGGCTTGTGACCAAGTAGAGATGTAAAAAACATACTAACTCTGCTCACCAAGTTTTGCTGGAATAATTAAAAAACAGCTGTTTAAGACCTTCCATTAGTCTTATCTGCTTACCTTTATATTTCTAATATACGTTTTACAAGTCTCCCTTAAAAATTGGATTTTATGATCCTACATTATCAGCTCTTCAGCTGCTCCAGAAATCAGCCTGTTTGTACACGTTTTTCTGAAATATCTTTGATTGTGTTAATGCTGCTTTTTTATAAGAAATGCACACTGTTTTGCATTTTTCCATATGGTTTGCTCTTACTCATATGGATAGACTAGGAAAGATACATTATGTGCAATTTTGACATTTAAACATAATTAAGATTGACCAGGCAGTATTATCATCTTTCCTCTTTATCCTTTTGGGCTATTTACTACATCCCATTGAGGTTTTCAGATTCAGATTGAATTCCTTGAAGCAACTTCCTTGTCTCATTTTTTCCATGGCACTATTGACAGAAGTACTTCACCAATCAGCGGGAACTTCTGAACATTACTGTTACAAGGAATTTGAAAAATTGCCTCTGACAAAGGTGTATTGCATCTTTAAGAGGGCATGGATGGCTTTGGATTCACCTACCTTCATATTTACATCTGCTCCGTTACAGACCAAAAGCTCTAAGCACAAGGCTCCATGTGTCGATGCAGCGGCGAAGTGCAAAGGTGTAAACCCCTTCTCATTCATTTGATTTACGTTAGCACCGCAGTCTATGAGTTCGTTGACTACAACATCTTGCCCGTTGTAGCAAGCTACATGGAGGGGAGTGTTCCCATAGGCGTTTGGCTCGTTCATCTGTCAAGAAAAAACACCCCAAGATTAGTTAACAGGCAAACGCCTGTAATACTGCAGCACTTTAATTATCAGAAAGTAAATCTCATGTCATGAGTCAACTTCTTCATTACGTTTGGGAACTCTTCAAAGCCAGAAATGAAAAGCAAGTTCCGGATGTAGAACTTTGATTGAGAAGTGTGTACTGGGGAAGAGTATGATTGCTTTTCAAGTGAGCCAACCTCCTCCAATTGTCTCCACACCAGTTTCCTGTACGCAGTACACCACTCGACAGAACACATATATGGAAAAAATGTCACCAGTGGCAATTTGCACAGACACTGCAGACTAAGCACAGCACGGAACTGCATCACCTCTCAACAGCATTTGTAGGTTTCCGTTAAAGACAGAGGTCAAAGGGACTGAGTTTCCCCAAAATAAGTTTAGGGCATTTAAACATAGAACTCCCAGATGCAGCGTGTGTGTGTACACACAGGCAGCCTTTTCACTGATATTAAGGATCTGTAAGTTCTGAGTGTAACAGGAATTTTAGTTATGAACTACTTCTGAGATGCAATCACATACACCTCTCCAATGAATTATAAGAGGTGCCACTGTTTAGATATCCAAGACAGAAAACATCAGATGATCTCTAAACCAAACAAGACTCTAATATATATATAAGTGATTGGGGAGGCATGGAAGGGGTAGAACTTTGCAGCATTCCCCAGCCTTGTAAGGCTAAAGTGTCATACAAAATGTAGATTTCTTAGTTTCAAAGTTTGTTGTTAACACACTTTCTACATGCAGGTACTGTACAGCCTTTAAATTTATTTTGCTTTTAATATTAGTATGGCCTTCCTTACTGTAGTATTGAAGTTTCTCCCAATTTTTAATATTTTCCAGAACTTATGAGCTGTAACAAAGTCAGTAACATCTATATTTTACAAGGAACCGAAGTATAAGAGCTGGATTTCCTGCACTTCAAAGAGAATTGTGTAGCAAAAGTAGAAACGGAATTCCTATTTCCTGAGTTCCAGTCCAACAAATTAAGAGTAAGAAATAACCAAATGAACAAAAAAACCCTACTAAATACAAATTTATTTCCAAACAATTCTGCAAACTCTGCAAGGCTTTTAAGTTACCTGTGGGAATGTGGTTTCATAATACAAAAGATCTTTGGAACTACTATTTTGCCCATATCATAACACACCCCTAAATGAATAGTGTGCTACAATACTAACAAGAGCACTTCAAACAATAAGAAAATACATATAACTTTGTTTTATTCTTCCTTACATCAACTCCAAGATCTAGAAGATATTTGACTACGCTGATCATCCCACTAGATGCTGCAGCATGTAAGGGTGTATACGATTTCTTGTCCTTGCATGTCACTTCAGCTCCGTGTGCCACGAGTAATTTCACAACTTCAATATGACCTAAAAGAATAAAGACAGAAAGAATAAAGCTGCATTTTACATTAACCAGCACAAGTTTACAAACTTAGTAATTGTGTAATTGTTGTAACACGAGCAAAACATTCTTCGTTTGGAACTAATCTGGAAAACAAAGAATTGTCTTGTATTCTAATTGTATCATGAACTATAAAAGCAACATAAAATATTCATATCCAGCAGAAAGTATCTCCATATACCCCCTCCAATAATCATAGGATTTATACTGCAAAAATAATCTTGTATATTAAAAAAAATAATCTTGTCTCCTGCTTACACAGAAGAATTTCTCAGGAAGATTTGAGAACTAGAGAGGTGACATAACTTTGTAATTATTAAACATTTACAGCAAATTTCTGTTAACAACTGGAAAGAGAATATGACTGTCAGTCTTCCAGCTTCATCTCAAATGCAAATTTGCCCATTAGTGTTTTTTAAGGCATTCAGCATAAAGTCCAGAAAATGATACAAACATGAAAAAACCAAAAATATTGTATTCTTAAATAAAATTATATTCTTCCCCCAAATCATACAGGATTTAGGAAAGCTCTATTTTCAAAACTGACTCAGGCCTTTGGCGCAGCGTAGTCTTCTGAAAGCATTAACTATTCTCCTGAGTCACGGGGAGGAGAGGAAGAGTCCAAGTGGGATGATGGGGAAGGTGCAGCTAAGAGGGAGGGTGGGGAGCCCACCCTGAAGCAGTGGGCAGCCTCTCTCACCACCAGCTTCAGGGCTGGGCCAGCAGCCCCAAAACTGCAGGGCTGCTGCCAAGGGCAAGTGACTTTCCCCTCCTCCGTGCCCACACGTTCCTCCCCCCACTAGCTTGCCCGCTGTTGAGACACTGCCCACTAAGAGAAAAGTAATGAAAATGGGGTAACAAAAAACTTGTCATTCTTGCCGAGCTGTTAATTTAACCACGAAACAAGTCAGTTGCTGAAAACACACGGTTAATCATGAGAAAGTCTGCAGAATGAAGGAGCACGTTTGAGTTAATTATTCCATGATGGATGTAGGGCTTTACCTTTGTAACTGACCCGTACAGACAGGTGGGGGATTCTTTATTTTACCTTTCAAGTGACACCCTTACCTTAGTTAAAAAAGTGGTGAGGGGCACACTGAATACGTATGCTTATCTAGTCAGACAATTAAGTATCAAAAGTGCTTCATAAAAAGTGAGGGTCTTTGCTTTTTCAACGACTGAGAGATTTGCAGAAGTCTGAATAGGAAGTGTCTACCCAAAAGAACACAGACAAAGCTGTTTCGATAAATATTCAGTCACCATGATAAACATTTTATGCTCTATGCCCAACAACATAGAAAATGACCCTTCCCCTAGCTATACAGACCAGAAACATTTCATTTACCAGTGCAATTCCCCTTCGGAATTACTTCAGAATTGTAGGAAAGAAGAGAAACAGAAATGCAAGCATTATACTCATTTTTCTGACCCAAATATAATGGGGACAAGAATGGAAAGAAGCCCTACATAAGAGACAGAAGTACAGAAAATCAGCGAAAGGAAGAGAGACACTGCATAGAACAGTGGCAGAAAAACTTTAAAGATAAGAAAAAAAAACCACCAAATGCAAAATCCCTGACCTGCATTGAAAACGCAATCAGTGGAAGCCACTCAAAGAGAAGAGCAAGGCAGTTGAGGTGGGAAGCGCTGAGGAGACATCCCGACACGCTGAGGAGGGCGATGGTAGCACGCACCAACCAAAGCCCATTTCAGTCCCAGCTTCGCAGCTGGACAGCAATGGAGTCCAGTGAAAAGCAGGAAGGAAGGGAAACAATGGATATAACCCTAGGAAGTTATTTATAGTAGAGTGACGAAACGCATAACTTCTTTTCTATTCTATGGTCAGTTTTGTATGGTGGAAAAGCTTGAAGGCTTTCCTCAAACAATTGGAGCAGCGTAAAATGGCTCTAAATTGTGAGAAAGAATGTCAGAGGTTTTTTTTCCTTGTTTGAAAGCTTTCAAAAGCTTTTTCTACACTCATCTGCAAAGATACTTAGGTGATCAACATCAGATAAATTACATTTTCTCCAGCCAAACTCTGTTCATTAACAGAGTTTCCTGTTAATAGCCTATGAAATAGCACTGACTAAAATTGGAGTAAATGTAGCTTATCTGAACAACAGAAGACTTTTCTCTCATCTAGGTGAGCACAGGCCAGAAAACATCTCCGTCCCCTCACTGATGCTCGTCAGATCTCTGCCAACTCATGCACAAATTTCATTCCACAAAATTTGCAATCAATCCCCTTGACAGCTTGTCACAGACATTGCTTTGGAATATGTAAGTAAATTACAAAACACTAATACAAAACCTCACAAAGAACGTTGGATCAATAATGGAAAGTGTTCTTTAACTTCTCCGTTTTGAGTACTGGCACAGGTACCTGAAGTGCAATATCGTACAGCTTCAAATTATAAAGTTAGTGGTCTGATGATCCCTTCATAATTCACTGCCACATTCAAGTCTTGTCCTCTGAAGACAGCTCAACAGGGTCCCATGTTCTTTTTAGCATTTTATATATGGATTTAATAGCCTTATTCTACATTGTTATCAGCTTATTTCAGACCTGTATTGTCAGGGACAGGAGACTAACATGAAATTGGCCTGAAACGCAGAGTTGTGCAAAGACAACAGGTAATAATTCCACGTTTGGCCAAATCCAGGTGTTTGTGAGAAGATCATTTTTAAAACCATCGAGATCTTACAAACAAGGCCGATTTTGTAAATATGTGGGTTTGCCTTTGCGAAGGCCAGAATTCTCAGTCCTTGGACCAAAGCACATTTCCTACAATGAACAACTCATTGAAGCACATGACTCTGACAGTACAGCCAGTGTATTGATCAATACCATGAGAACAATCATTATCCATTCCTGGAAAAAGAACAGCAAGGCAAGGTTTTGGAGTTTTAGAGATGAAATACTATTCTTTTAAAATACAATCCCCAGGGTTGGTGTAATGATCCTCTGTTTCAGGTGCCCCTTATATTAATTGCTTACTTTCTATTTAGCATTACTGCAAAAGTTTGCACTTGTAATTAGACTCCTGCTGATTGAGGAACACAGTTCTTTCTTTTTAAAGAACAAAAATACTTAACCTTATTTTTCTTTTTCCAACACATTGATTTTTCTCATCACAGAAACACATTCACAAGGCAATTTGAAGTATACCATTAATGGTTTTCTGGCAGAAACACAGATAACATCAATGCTTACAATGTAAATATTTTTCCTAGAACTATAAAAAAAACACTAAACATGAGATGATTTTTTTTTTTACTACCACAATAGTAATCAACTGAAATACATACATACCCATATATGCTGCCCAATGTATAGCTCGCCTGTCCTTCTTGTCAAATGCATTAATATTGGCTCCTCTAGACAACAGTAAGCTGACCATCTGAGATGAACAGAAAAAAAATAATTCCTCTATTCATAATGGAAAACTCTGCTTAAAGTTAGACAAAGAAAATCATAGGAGAAAAAAATATATGCATTTTCAAAGGATTTAAATGTGTTGTTTTTTGAATATTCCATAAGCTTGAAAAAACTGGCTGCCCACCTCAGCAGCAATAATGAAGTGACTTTAAGGTACACAAAACTCAATGTCAACAAAAAGATTTCCCAGTTAAATACAGCAAATCTGTGGAATCTTTTAAATCTTCAGGCTATTTCTAAGGGATTCACTAAAAATAATTACTGCAAGCAACCCTATTGCCATTTTCTCTTCACTTACCTATATGAAATTACAATGGGAATTTCCCAGCAGTCATTTTTTCAGGACTTAAAAACTAGCGAGTTAAGAGCTTATTACATGTGTTTCCTCCACATTTTAGTGACAACATATTTCATACGTTCACTATCTCCTGAACTGAAAAATATCTTCTTTTTTTCATTTTAAATTTATATATTACTAGTTGAACTCCACTTAAGACAGAAACAATTTTGCCTGAGTTAAGAAAGGTGAACGCTGTAATAACCTTCCCAACTAAATGATGTAATATGTATTTTCCACAACTGTCCTGTACACAGATGCACACAAAAGACAAATTCAAATACAAAATAGAGCTTGGTCTTTTTGAGGGGAATGGGGGAAACATGACTTTAAACTGAGAAACTAAGCATCAGAGATGTGAGGGGCTGGAAGGATGAGTGGGAAACAAGCTAAGAAAAAGAACTCTTACCTCAACGTGTCCGCTGAAGGCTGCATGATGCAATGCAGTTCTGCCCGCTCGGTCAGACACGTTCACGTTGCTGAGGAGAGGCACCAAAGCTTCAGCACATTTCACAGCTTTGTTTGCAGCTGCTATATGTAGGGGTGTCTGCCAGTTTTTGTCACGAGCATTGACATCCGCTGAATGCTTTAACAACACCTGAACAGCATCCTGAAAGCATTGACAAAAAAAGCCCAAGACACTTAGTAAAGATCTGACATGCCAGCCTTAAATCCAAGGTCAGTATAATGGAATAGAGGAATAGAACTATTTACAATTTGGTTTTTTTTGTAAACATCATCTTACGCTTTGGCATTTGTACTTTATCATAAATCCAGATTTGGGGATGTTCTCACAAACATGAGCAATATAGTCCCTACAGTATCTGAGTGAATCAACCATTTCCAGGTCTTTAATCCAGTTCCCTAAGCTGGCCAGAAAATTGTTTAGTCATCACAACTAATTTCCAAAGCTCAATAAAGCTCCTTAGGAATTCTTCCATTGCTAAGGATTAATGTGATTATTGTGAATTTTTAATGCATTTTCATCAATTTGCCAAGCACATTTTTTGAACTGTCCAAGTGTAGAAATGGCAAAGAGAAGACAGCTTATTAAAGGTACGTTGAGAGAACCACAGATAAAACAGAGCATGGTCACAAACAGTTTCAACATATGCTGTTGCAAAACTCCTGAAAACCGTTTCAAAATGTTGCACTGAATTCCATCTCACAAAAAGATTATTCATTTCCTTTTGTTAAACGTACAAGCTGTGCAAATTTGATAAATAATACTGTAATTCTTACAGCAAGATAAATAAATCCCATTAAAATATGTGCACACAATTGGAATGCATTAAAAAAAATAATCTCTTGGTGATACCAACACGACAATGAATTTTACATCAACTTCCCACAATTCACTAATTGCTTTCAGGGACTTCCAACTCAAACACTGAGCACACAAATAAATGGTTGGTACTTTGACCTTAAAACATGTTACTGCAAGCAGTTACTGGATATTTCAGATTACACCCTGATACAATAGTTAGGTACCATTCTCAGCCACAAGCAGAACGCCAAGTAACAATTGATTCTATTTTAAATATAATTTATTGTAATAAATGCTCAAACTTCTTCTGCTGTCAATTAGAAAAAAAATAGAAACAAACATAAAAGTTAAAATACGGCACCAAAGGCTTGCAATTTAAATGAGAAATGGAGTAGCTTCTATTTGCTAAGAAAAAAAGCAGATTTAGTACTGTAAAAATCTAATCTTTCTCTTTTTTGAACCAAATATTAAGAAAAAACACAATCAGAACAAGGAAAATTTTAGAACAGCTATTACTCCTTCTGTAGAAGGAAGCATTGTAGTTGTAGCATAAGGATAATTTCTTATCTTTTTCTGTGCATATGCATTAATGAATTTCAAGAATTAGTGAATTTGTTTCCTCTTTTTTTTTTTTTTTTTTTTTTTTTTTCCCCTTCTCCCCCAGAATACACCAGTCACACAAATATAAAGGTCTGGAGCCTGACAGTCTTGACATGAAGTTGCTTAAAATCACGCAGTTGACAGCTAAATCTATGATTCTAGCTATTTTGCATGTTTTGATGTCCTTGTTTAATTGCAGCTGTCCTTGCTTCAAGAGTAAGTCCAGATGCTTTCCTCTCCCCCTACCTGTGTGGGCTCATAGGGCTCACCATGTTTATACACAGAAAATTCTGACAGGCACCTATCGCTGCTTTTAGGGTAGACTGATTGGTTTACGTGTATCATTTACCTTTGGTTAGCATTTTGTTGAAAACAGTCCACATTTAAAAAAAAAATCACTATGGTTGCATTTCTTGACACTATCATCTAGGACTGGTTTGTCTGTCTTCTCTACAGAAGGAGTTTTTATTGTCCCCCAGCTCTGAAGGATGCAGTGCTTGGTGCTTCGGTCAGCTCCCAAAGGAGCAGCCTAAAAATACCTCGAGAACAAAAAATAGCACTTGGAAATAAGGCGCCCTTGAAGATTAATTTTCAAACACTCTTTTGAATAACATAACCTCCACATAACTTAGGTATTAATGCCTGTGACAAAATAATGCAATCTATCCAGGGACTACAAAAGCAAAAACTGAAAGACAGCTTGTTTAGATAGTTCACGGACCAAATACTTGAAGCTCAATGCCTGCCAAAACCAAAATATTCGATTCCATCTTCTCAAACAAAAATTTACATGGAATATTTAAAAACCCTTTATTTTTGAGACATACTGAAATGAACGTTGATTTGACTCAGGATCCCACAGGAGATAATTTTGCATAAACTCTTCCACATAACAAGCTCAGCATTTCTGTTTGTTTTGATCTTCTACAGGCATTTAAAATTTTTATTAGGACATCAACAATAGAGGAACAACAACAAATTCATTTCCTACATTACTATATTCTCACAACTGTGTCAGTGGTAGACTTCACAAAACTTTCTACATATTTCATTTATGACTTTCAAAGTAATTTTCAGTACTATTGTTACTTATTAATTGCTTCTTAAAAAAAAAAGAAAAAAAAGAAAGAAGTTTGCAGGCCTTATAAAACCATTTATTGCTTCAGTGCCTGAACAGATGAGCATGTAAGAAATGAAGAAATGTAAATATTAGGCTGGAAAAGCTGTACTAAATCTTATTTCATCTCTACTTCCCTCACACAGAACCATTCTGGTTACTTTAAAGGAAGTAACCTGGACTTGAGAACACCATATGCAGAATCCTCTCTGGCGGGGTAATGGCATTTGAGCAGAGAGCAAACCTGAGAACTGGAAGTTTATCTTTTTCCCCTTTCATCCTACTGAGGCATATGATAGATATACTTGCCACACATAAGGTCTTACAAGTGTTCTGCTATTTGAAACATTTGGAGTAGTTTCACTTCATAAAAACACAATAAAGAACAGAAGGTAATTGGAGATGTCTTATTTTAACACAAAGCAATAAAAACACAAAGCAAAAAACCACAAAGCAATAAAAACAAACCATACCTCACTACAAGATGCCACAGCTCTGTGTAAAGGAGTCAACCATTTGCTGTCTTTGGCATTAACTCTAGCTCCTGTAATAAAAAATAGGAAAAACAAATTTGAAATGTATTTACAGAAAGACTTAAATATTTTCCAGCACAACAATAGAACTATTGGAAGATACTTATTCTAGGGTCATTAACACAGCATGATGCCAAAAATGGGAGTCTTTTCTCCAGCCAAAGCCCACCCGTTGAGAAAATTCTTTTAACACTGCACTCGTAATACTCTTCCATCAAAGTGCACTAATCTTTTTACATCAGGCAGTCCTCTATAATCTTTTACATTTCTGAAGATACATAAAAGACTGTTGGGTATGAAAGACTTACTACTTGCCTTCACTTAGCAGCAAAAATCTCATACTTTCCCACTACAGTTGAAATTCTCCATTAAAGTAGAGAAAGAGGGTACATTTATTCCCCACAAGCATCCTGACACCTAGGTATGTAGAATTTTATTTCTTCTACTGTGAATTGAGGAATGAATCTCCTCTACTCCACCAGGTCATTTCACCCACTTCAAGACCTCAGGGACCCCCCCTTCATGATCTAGATTGCAACAACCACACCTCTTCTGCGCTAAAAGTACACCCAAGAAACAGCTGTCCCTGCCCCCAGGAAAAAATGTCGCACAAACATCAGGCAGGGACACACACTGGGTCTGGACTTTAATTTTTTTCTTAATAATAAAAGGAAAGAAGAATTTAGAGACTTTTTCCTGAAGGAAGCAACTGAATTACTCTCTAACTTCTACTGAACTTCAACAAACAAGAAAATTTAATGATTAAGCTTAATAATTTTATTTCTAACTTGTACATATACACACACACATATACATGTATGTGTATATACACACATAGAGCCTTATGGGTTTTTTAATACCTTGAGTGGAAATTTAGCCATCTTTATTTGAAAACTGCTGAGATTTTACAGAGATATAATAGCTTACACAAAATGCTACAATTTTGAAAAAAATAGTTTAGAAATACCATTGGAAGAGTTCCTAGAGCAATATATGGTATCACGCGGTAACAACACTACGTGGTCAGAGCTTTTTAACTTCTCAGGCTAAACATAAAAATATTATGTCAGAACAAACTTTAATTTTTTCTATGTAAAGAATAGAAAAGTATGGAAGGCCAATAAGAAGCAAAATGTCAGACAGGTTGCTGGTGAGGATACTCAGCTGAGAGGCAGGTATTTTGATCCAAGTCTCACCGACTTGCACCAGCAAACAAGTCTCTCTCCCAGTCCAGCTGAACAACGTGACCAAGAAACTTAGCAGTCTGTACGAAATCATGGTTGTACATACTAAGCAAACCAAAGACTTGAAGTCAATCCTCTGAGTTAATCAGTTTCTAGTCAATCCAACCCTTGCAGGCTTAAGAACACAACACAGAACCTGATGGTGAATTCAAACTCCCACTTTGAACCCAGGTCTTCCAAACTCCAGACAGAGCCTGAGGTCTAATTGCTGGGTACGATTTCAAGGGTTTCCCTCTTTCCTTATCCAAATTCCAGAAGTTTTGGCTACCATTCTATTTTCCAAGCTCAAAAGTTTTTGAAAAATAAGTTTGAAGGAATAGGAAGAAAGTCCAAGTCCATTTGAAGAAAACTCCCACAAATCTAACAAACATTTAAGAGACTTAATCTTAATATAAATTATCAACTTTTGTGAACCAACATAAGGATCTAGTGTATTGCACCATATCATGTATCGTAAAATAATGTACTGTATCAAATTCTGTATAGAACTCAAGGATTCTAAACATCACCACAAATGTCTTGGGATTTTTGGTAGTCCTTCCCAGAAAACAATAACCTGGAATGATCAGTAAGTGAGAATATAACAAATATATTTCAAATGTATCTGTAATTCTTGATTATCGTCCAGGCTATTGCTAACCAAACTTTGTTTTTAGCAGATGAGACAAAAATAAGAGCCCAAATGGCTCCACCTGACTTCACATCTACAGCCAACAATGGAGGAATGAGTACTTTCAAAGTCTAACTGATTTCTAGTTCTAATTTTAGCATACAAATGTCTTTGAAGCATTTTAATGGAATAAAGGGAGTTCCTAGGTCACTAATCACCACCCTGATTTTCCTCCAGTGATAAAACCTGAGACAAGAGAAGCACCATGCCCAGCAGAAGGGGAGAAGTACACATTTCCACTCCAAGGAGGTGGCAGTTACCTGAGCTCTAGTGAAAACTTGCTTAAGAGTCCAAGCCATGTTTATGCGTTCACCTAAGCATTCATTGACGTTTCTGGTACTTTAACACACAGTCTAAATATTGCATCAGAAGAGTGCAGGAATAAATACAAAATAACACTGTACAAAAGGTCTTCCCAGTGGTTAAGCCAGTCAAAACTTCCAGAACTAAGGGAAAAGAGTACCTGAAAGTGTTTGTTGTTTCTGATAAGACAGCATATCAGCATCAGCCAAATAAATGCCTAGGGAAATCTGAAATGATACCTAAAAGTAACATGGTCCTCTCAAAAGAACAAAACTAACACAACAATATCTGTCCCCCATCCCTGTAAGTGATGCTCTACCCAAAGAAGCAAGAAAGCCTAGATCGACGACATCTCATAGTCAAACTAGTGTAACAGCGGACACTAAAATAAGTTAACTTTTCGAATGCACAAGGAAGTTTTAGATTCTCTGACAAACGAAAACAACAAAGTTGACTTTTGAGAAAAGATCTCAATCTCTGGTGGTCTTACTTAAGAAAGAACCACCAAGCTTGTTCCCCATCTCCCCTCCCCCAACAAGTAACTCTTTAAAGAATTCCAAAAAGACAAAGTTTTAAAGTAATAATCAGAATAAGCATAATCCCCAAAAATGTGCATGCACTACTAATGTGGAAATCAGGACTATCACTCTATCACCTATCACTCTAGACACGTTAAACAAAATAATATTTTAAATTAACATAGAGACACTTCCCCCTTGAATTTCTCCAAGAAGACATGCTGCCAAGACTGATTTAAATTTCATAAAAAGCTTCTCCAAGCAGCCTTGTGTCTGAGGACATCACCCCCCTCCAGGCTGTTCTTTACTCCCTAGCCCAGGATTTGCGGAAAATGTTACTGTTCTTCCCACCCCCTTCAGATGCTCTCCATAAGACACAGAGCTCCCTCAAACCTACCATATCCCTACCATGCTTCAGTGAGGAAGGTCACAGCCTTCACCCTCTGGGGTAAAGCTTTACTCCAGATCATTGGAAATGGACGTTAGAAAATATATGACATCTTTGCTGAATATCTTTTGCTTAAAGATTATTTGCTTCAGCGTTTGCTTGAATACAGTTTGAAGGCCTATATGTACAGAATTCACTGTACAGCACCGCTGATGCAACACTATCTCTGTGAAACTCAACCTGCTGACGTGTTAACCAGGGCATTTCTCACATTTCAAATGGCAGCTATGCAGCAGTTTGCTCTTTCAAAACACACTGCAGCCTACCCCAATCCTCACTTTGGAAAAAAAAAACAAAACAAAAAGCAAGCCCAAACCAAACCCACTCCCACCACACTGGATCTTCCAGACTTCAGGGGCCTGTTCTTCACATCCTTATTAAAACTCCTCAAATATTTGCTTAAAGAAGAATTTCTTATATTTCAATTCTTTTAATGCCATAGAGCCTGCAGGAAAGGGATTTGGGGGCTTGCCAGAGATGTCAAACACAAAACTGCACACAAAGACCCACCATCTTTGCTTGAACTTAAGAACTGATTACGGAAATGACACTTCATTAAAACTGCACCTTCCAAACAAACCAGCTTATTCTTCCATGCTGGTGCACTAAACTGAAATACTAAACAAGATCTTCCCTTTCATCTTCAACTTTGCCAGTAGAGCCTAGTAAGTTTACCCCTCTAGGCACATGTGAAAGCAGGATTTTTGCTCTGCAAAAGGAGGAGAAAGGGAAGGAAGAGGGAGCGAATTTTTTCTTCCCTTCTCCTTGAATGTCACATTTCATTTTGCAAAGTTGCATTAACATGACTGACAAGTAGAAACGCATGTTTTATTTAATAAATCTAGCACAGAAGTTACTGAAAAACTCAATTATGTTTACTTTTAGCAAATTATGTTCCAAGAGATACATTTTTCAACTCAATACATGCAGTGATTTACAGAGGGATCCTGGAGGTTACAATATTAGTCCATATCTGGTAACTGCATGTTTAAATGTGCTGTTAGCCACCAGTACTTGGACGTATGTTTCTTCAATTCGGTTGATACTTCATCAATGTCAATATCCTTATGTTGGAATAAGAGCTAGCATCTCAACCGTCTCTTGAAGAGACAGGCAACAAATAACTGGGCAGGAAATGCTGCAAGGAACAGCCACCCACCTCCTTCACCATAAAATGCCATAAAATTATATACAGTCGTGTCTCAGCACTTCACCCCTATGTTCCTCTTGTAAGAGCTTTTGCCATCAGAACTCTTCCCCTTTGTAAGTGTCCTCAGAAGACTAATGAATGCCATGCCTACATTACTTACGCATCACCAGTTGGAAATAAATTCAGAAGAGAAATACAGCCAAACTGACAAGACATTTTCATCTTCGCTCACAGTACTAACTTTAGTTCTGAATTGCCTTCCACTGTTCTGTTTGTAGTCTGTATTTTTGGACTGTCAAGGATGGTATTTTCCTTTGTTATTGTACAAGATGTGCTAGCAGCTGAACAATAACATAAGCAAATAAAGCGAAAGTGTTTCCACTCACATATGCAATACAGACACCTGACGTTCAGTCTTTGAAGCTCTGAAATGTTTATTTAAAAGATATCAATAAGATCTTTAGATTGCACTTAAAAAAGCTAACAAACTTTGTATTACCATCTAGTATACTGAAATAATTTTAGGAACGATCTTTGCAGAAATTAGGAAGATCCTAGTAAATCACTGAGAATAACCAGCAGTCTTACTGTAACTGGATTCTATTTAGTTATTTTCCTGAGCACTAGTATTAGCTTGACAAGTTTTTCCTTTTTAAATGATCCACTTTTTAAGCTAGA